GAATGAATGGCTGTTGAAAAAAAAGTATATATATATATATGTGTGTATGTGTATGTATACACACACACACACACACACACACAACCACAAAAAAAAAAAAAAAAAAAAAAAAAAAAAAAAAAAAAAAAAATATATATATATATATATATATATATATATATATATATATATATATATATATATATATATATACATATACATATATACATATATACATATATATATACATATATAAATATATATATGTTTATATATATTTATATATTTTTACATATATATATATATGTATATATATATATATATATATATATATATCTATATATATATATATATATATATATATGTATATATATATATATATATATATATATATATATATATATGTTTATCTATCTATCTATCTATCTATCTATATATATGTATATATGTATATATATATATACATATATATATATAGATAGGTATATATATAGACATAGATATAGATATATATCTATCTAGCTAGCTAGCTATAATGTATGTATAAATGTATGTATATATAATTATAAAAATATGTACATTACACACACACACACACACACACACACACACACACACACACACACACACACACACACACACACACACACACACACACACACACACACACACACACACACACACACACACACACACACACACACTATGTATACGCTACGCTTGACTGTGTTTATACATTTGTTTATGTATCCCCTCATATACCTTTCTCATAGGCATGTTGTACCTACATATGCATTTTTGCTTGTTTTTTTGTAGTCACACTCCGTGTATCCACACCTGAGTTATGTTGTGTTACTTTAGTTAATCCATATACTCCATTGTACTCCCACGTATATCTATGTTTCGATTATGTTTACTTTTACATTAGTATCGGTTGCTTATCCCTATTAGTTATGCATATTTCTCTTTTTGTATTTCTTGACTCACGTAGTTATTCATGTTATTCTGTATGATTTATTGATGTTACATTCTGTACATCATGTTGATATTGTTGATTCGATTCAGTACATTGTGTATCTTATTGATGTTACTGTTCATTTTTTTACCTTTACCGTCGGTTTTATATTATGTATACCTTACTGATGTTATTATATGCACTTACTGTTTATCCACTGCAATTCTACATTTTTATGTACTTAGTGTTTAGTTTTGTGCGTAGGTTATTTTATGCTTAGGTTGTATTGTTTAGCTAGCTGCGCCTTTTCACTTCTCTGATACCTTTTGTCCCCGCCGCGGGAGCGTGACCGAGCGATGTAAGGCCCATTTCACACATGGCCCTTCTTCATAACACACCTAGCCTATCCCCAGGGAGACCCGCTAATGGATCTTGAGGGTCGCACATAACCCTTTAGCTAAAGGACTCCCTTGGGACTTCTCGTAGCAGACTCCTTCCCGTGTCCTACTATTGCCATACATATAACACTATCAACTTGTAAGTATATATCCAATACAGTAACACCAATCTCTACAAACCAATACCTTTGCTAAACACGACAGCGGATGCGACATTCGCGGGCCCTCCGTCTCGTGACGTCGCCCCGTTTGCACGATCACTTCCTTTAGCAATTCGCTGATGGCCCGAACGTTCAGGTCTAGTCTCTGAATTACATGTCGGACACACAACTTGGAAAATTCAGGCGAATTACGATCAAGTGTTGGGTCTCTATATCTCACATAGTTTTCAGTCTCGACGAAAAGTTGGGAGGGAGGGGGTAATTAATTCCATTAAATTTGTTAATTGTTACTATGGGGTTAATAAGGGAGGCCATGTTAAAAGGGTTAGCTCGTGGTCGGTCAGTAAGAGAGGATTCAGGTGCAGTGGGAAAAGAGGATGACGGGGGTGGAGGGGAGTGGGCTGGAGGGGGTGAGGGCGGTGAGGTGTTGGTTGTATGTTCGTACGTGTGTGTTGTTGCCGTCGCGGGTATGGCGGTGTGGTCACTGTGTGAGTGTGTATCTTCGGTGTTTACTCCGAGTATGTGTGCATCAGCTAGGTTGCGAGATCGTAGCTGTAAGTCACTCTTATCGGTTGGTTGTTTCGGCATGGGGTTTTAGTGAATGAGTGTGAGGAGTGAATGACACTAGTGATGGCCGTGGGGCGAGGCGAGAGGCGTGACAGTGTGAGTGGGCATTGTGGGAAGGAGCGCCGTTTTCTGTTTGGCGGGGAGACTGAAGCATATGCACAATTCGGAAGTAAATCGGACAATACGGTATGGAAATGATCAAATCAAATAGAATATCACCTAGACATCCTAACGAAAAAAAAAAAAAAATGCGCCTTAACACAATACTCTGACTAACCTTGGAATATATCGTTGGTGTGGAACGTCAGCGCGGGGAGGTGGTGGGTCGTCGGCGCGAGGAGGTGGTGCGCCGGCGGGGGGTGGGGTTCCTTCGTCAGTGCCACTTCACTGGATTCCCAGACTTCGGCTCACGGTTGGGCACGGCTGGGCCGGTAATTCCC